TTGTGTGCATCGCCTCTGCCTTTTAATTCATATATAGTAGAGTTACATATAATATGTCCCACAACTCACTCTTCATATGATAATCACTTGAAACACACATTTTGTTATGAAATGTTGTGTTATTTAATTGTCAGCACTTTTTTCGTAGAGTTTTATATTATTCTGTGTGTTTGAAAAGTCAGTTTTGTTTTGCAATACCCTTTTAGTGCACATATATAGTAGTATTTCGCCCACAAATGCAATGAAATTTCAGTTTTTGATTATGCCTTTTCTGTTCATTAAATTAATATTAGTTTTATATTAAGTTATATTTTGCGAGCGAAACAAGAAAATAAGTTTTTCTTACGCTTAAAAATATTTTCTCTAATAAGTTAAATGTATTTCTCTTTAATATAAAGAGAAATACCATTTGAAAAGTCACTTTAACTACAGGTATACCAGCGATAGCTGACAGCGATTTTTCCTATGACTTAATGAACTTTTCGACGTGTATTACATTTTTTCGGCTCACATTCACATTCACGCTATTTCTTCCCATTAACTAATATTATTATTACTACCATTTCATAGGAGTTTTATTATATTATGGTTTTAAATTCATAATAACTTTTTTTTTACTATTAATATTACTTTATGTGTATATATTGTGTGTGTAATAAATCGTGGATTTTCTCATACAAATAAATTGTGTCATTAAAAGTGTGTGACAGGGAGTTAAGGATCATAGTTGGCAATCATGGCCTCATCGCCGGCACATTCGGCCCCAACGTATTCGGTCGAGCATTTGGCCACTTTCTCGACCACAACTCCACAACAACAACAGACAACACCGCGGATGGCATTGCATCGGCTCTTCGCTATGGAAAAGACATCAGGTTTGAGATTTTCGCTATTAATTGTTGTATAATTTTTGCCCAAATCCTTGATTTAGTAAAACAAATATTTCAGTTAATTATAAAGACATTTGAAATGTTAGCTCTGATAACGAGAGTATTATTCATACGAAGATATCTGTAATATTTGTCGTATTTCTTATCATATGTTGGTTTTGATAAACCGATTCTTTGCTAACTTCTGTTGAAATCTTTGTGGAGACAGTACTTAACGTTAACAAACAATATCACATTTATTACCCTTAAATGTTATCATAACGTATGAATATATTTCTCATTTCATTTTTCTACATAACTTTTAAATGTCAGTGCATTAAGAGATTAGACATAACTTTTTCGATAAGAATTACTTTATTTTCTCTTAATATTGACTTAAATCAAAAGAATTAATGATTTTTATTGATAAATCAATAGGAATTTGGACGCAAAGAATGGCAATTCAATTGAAGGGTATTAATGAATGACAGGAGGGTTTCAACAAACAAACAAACTAATCAATGATTTTGATGTATGCATACAATAATAGGCAATAATATGTGGATATTAGACGGCGAGTCCAATGATGTTGTCGAGCGGTTTCCGGTCACTCTTATCCAACAGCCGACTGCTTTCAATGATCACAACCATATTTATAACAATATCCTTATATTCACTGTACAGTTACCTAATGAAAGTCAAGGTATTAATAATGATCCCCGCATACAATCTCATACAACTAGTTTAGTTAATTTTTATTTAATTGTCCCAAAATAAGGTGAATTGCATATATTTCAATGTGTTTCACACAACGCCATAAGTATTGTTGAAGACATTCAGCACTGGATGAGACACTTCGGGGTTGCGATGCAAACCGAGGCCTCAACTCAGCCTAATGTCAACGTTAAAGAGACTGTTAGTGTTTTCAATCAAATCGCAGCACAACGTGAAAAGTAAACCATACAAAGCAAACATACAATTTGCAAACCAATCGCTAACAAAACACACGTTTGATTGATTGCTTCCCCATTAGAAAGGGGTCGTCACCGACGGGAACACCAATGGGTCACCCGAGTCAGGGACGACTGGTTGCCAACCATGATCTGGACTCGCGGTCCATCACAACCACCAGTTCCATCGACTCGAGCCATCATAACGGCGCTCATAGGACTAATAGTCACGACCAGGTCTGACAATCAATCTTTCAATCCTCTAATGTCTGTAATAGTAATGAATTTTTTCGCGCAAAACATTAGTCTCTGTCTAATGAGAGATACGTTTCAATACTTAATCACTGTTTTGATGACATCGAAAGATTTATAATCCGTTTACAACACGCGGCCGCAGCTCTCAGGGAATTACAACTTAGAAATCATAGGCGACAAGGTTTGCATCATTTGAGCCCATTTTTCAATCTATATATTCTGTGAAGAAATCAATATTTTGTGACAAATATATATTCACTCCCAAAGGCAAAGGCGCCGCTCACGCCGGCGACGGACTGCTGGCCATCCGAGCGCGCGGTCCCAACGAAGAGGAATTCTTTGAGATATTAAGCAAATTCAAACTGGCGTTCAATTTATTAGCAAAACTCAAAGGTATGCAAAGAATTTTTTGAAGAGAGACTCAAAAATATGGCTGAAATACGATATAATATATAATGGATTATATTTTAATGATAGGTTGTATACACGATCCCAACGCACCAGAACTCGTGCACTTTCTTTTCACTCCGGTTAGGATTTGCATTGCATTGCATTTTACAATCGTTTCACCACTAATAATGTTGTATTGTTTTTACTCTTGCGCTGCCGTTCCCTACCATTCCCTCCCTATAGTTGGCCATTATTATTGAAGCCGCCAGAAGTAATGGTACGTTAACTTTATTACATGTTTTTTGAAAAGCCATTAAAATATTTGATTGATAACATATTGCATGTATATATTTATAGAGCCGCCAATTGATCCGTCCATTGTTGGTGTGCCTTATCTGAACCACGAGGCCATCGATTTGTTGGCCAACTGTTGCACCAGCAAAGAGTTTGACTTATGGCAATCGCTGGGACCAAATTGGGTTCAACCCCTCAAAGTATATCTCGCATAACATTTGATCAGTACTTTTTAGTTGTGTCTTAATTTACATAAACATTTTGATTGACAGCACAACACAAGACTTAACACTTCTTATCAGCCGGTATTCACCGACGGCTGGGCTCCTAATATCACAGAACCGGAACTGATAGGAATCGCGTCGGAATCGGAACAGGAGGACGACTCCATTCACTTGCATCGCGACGAAGCCATCATAAGGAACCGCAGAGATGTCAACTCAAGAGAGTACCAAAGAGGTCCGCAATTTGATGACAGCGATATCGACGACAACCATATGGATGGCCGACATATTCAGCACAGAAGTACTGATTCAAGAATAATGGTGAATGAATTGCAAAACAAATATCTAATTGGTGTCATCTGTGTTTAGTATCGCCGTCGACCTCATCGCACGCGACACGTGTGGTTCGCGGCAATAGCCCGCCCTCTCCTATCGACTCCATAGAGCGCGACTCGCCTACAGTACAGGTCAGCGAATTGGATCAGTCCGAGTGGTTGGCAGAACTGCACAACAGAAACGCCAAAATAGTTCGCGTCCTCTTTCCCCGAACCGCTAATAACGACAAAGAGCTGACAGTTATTCGGTTCGCATATATTTTCATTCACTTTTCATTTCATAAGTGATGAAAACTAATTGATTTGTCTTTCATATTAGGGGCGAAATACTTGAGGTATTAGACGACTCGAGAAAGTGGTGGAAAGCGCGCAACTGGAGGGGTCAGGTCGCACACGTGCCGCACACTATTGTCTCTGAGATCGGGAACATCAGTAACGGAAAGGACCCACATATGGGCAGTTCGTCGCCCAACGATGATTGGGTGCGTCGCGAAAGACAAGGTAAAAAAGGCGAGTTTAGGTATTTCTAAACGGATCGTAACCATCGGTCGATCGCAATGTGTGTCTCACTTCTCGTTACGCTTCCGCTTATGAATCGCGACTCAATTGTATGCCTCGATTCCGACTGTCGTTTCAATTAATATTTGTTGTTATTTGTAATCAATAATTATTTTTCTCATTACATTTGGTATATTATATGATATATTTATAATTTATAAACAAATTCTGTTTAAAATACAAACAAATTCTATTCCCGGGAGAAATAGTTTTGCAATTCTGAAGGACAATACATGAACAAAAAGCTAAGCTTTTTTAAATTAATTATTTGGTAATCAATCCCATGACATGTTGTAAATTAAATGTTGTCTTTTAATTTTGTTGGTCATTGGGTTATGTGTTTATATATGACATTATATGGACAGTGAAAATAATAAGAGAGTAATGAATATCTTAACGAATAACACCCGAATGTAAACATAATTATAAAATCTGTACAGCAATTATCATTACAAGCAAAAACCTATAGAATCTAATTATTCATTGATTTATAAATATTACTTAATTTTTACACAACAAAAAGGGTTAAAATTTATATAAATTTTTAAGAATCTAATTTAATTTGTACTACTTATTGACTTTTAGTCTATTTTACACTTACTTTTTAGTATCAAATACTTCTTGACAAACATTCCCAAAACAGTGCCTTTACTTTGTGCCTAATTATATCATTTACAATAAACAAAGTAATTTTTGATTATATTTTTGTGTTATTTCCTTTTACTTCTTTGCTTTTTTGTTGTTATAAACGTGTTTTCTTTGCTTTGCGTAATTCTCATCACAAATGTACAGTGTGTTTAGTTTAGACCTAGATGCATTCATGAACATTTATATAATGCACGAACGAATAATTAATTGCATAGTAATATATAAACAAAATCATTGGGTATTTAGTTTGCATGAAGACATTCAACAATACCATTCATTGATGGATTCAAACTATTCATTCAACTCAATCCGACAGCTATTCAGTTATTTCTGGTCTCACTATTATTCAAATAAAAATAAAATTTTAATTATCATTGTTTTTCTAACTTTATGTTTGTGACAATTGTTTGGAAATTTTGTTTTTACTTAATAATTGTTATTTATATGATTTGCGTTTATTTGTTTGACTGTTGACTGCTTTCGCATTAAATATGTTGAATGCTTTTATAACCCGATTGCATGAATGAAAGGCTTAATTAATTAATTTTCTTATTTTGCATGTAATGGTATTTTGCATATTTCTCATTCAATTCGGTGATGGCTTTAATTAATTAATACATTAAATGTAAAAAATTGACGATAAAGTGAATGGTATTGAAAGTCGAACTAATGGTATGAGAAGAAGCAGTGAAGAGGAAAGGATTCTGTATTCCGTCCCAAATAAGCAGAATTCCGATCAATCGGTAATTAACACCAATTAAGTTTGCATTCAAATTAATTGCTGTGTTTTGTTAATCACATTAATTGGGTCTAAACAGAGGCCACAAGAACCCGAACGACAAATTAGTGCATTTGAGAGAGAAATCAAGATGAAACAAAACCAACTCAATAGACAGCTTAATGAGTCCTTTAAGAATATATCGGTCAATAATGGGCGACAAAGCAGTGCATCAAAACGACTCGAAAGGCTAGAGTCCGATACTGTGAGCCTTCAAAGTGAGGTCAGCTTTCAGGACGAGTTGAGCGCTACTCTTAAAAGCAGGAAAAGTGTCGCCAAAGCTTCAGTCATTAATTCAGGTCTTAATCGCAAATCAATACCATATGTTGTCTTCACCGCAATATTTCAATTATTAATTCATTAATTAAATGCGTTTTTAAAAACAGACGAGAGTTTAACCAAAGCTAAAGACAAAGAGACCGTTAGTGAGAAGAAAGATAAAGAAATAAAGGATAGTAAAAATAAAGAGCTAACTCTTCCCCTTTTGGTCGAACACTTACACCGAAAGAACTTTCATCCGAGGCTTATATCGAAACTGACGGATCACTCCAAGACAACTGCCGATGCCGTCAAGTTTTACATGTCGGTCACAAAACAACAGCTAAAAGTAAGTTCATTCAATTCATATAAATTTTAATTATTCAATACAATTCATATTATATCTAACATTTTTTTTAATCGAGGCTCAACATTGATAAACAATGTAATGATTTAATTACAAATAAAATTNGTAGAATGAGTTTTGCAAACAAAAGTTGTAGCCAGATAATACGAAAAATGTTTGGTATATAATATGACTTAAAAATAAACAAAATATTATTTTAATTATTAATTTAAAAATCATTTGGAATTTCATAAATATCAAGCCAATATATTTTACATAATCTTATAATTAATAAGTTTGTTGGTGACACCCCAACAAACCTACAATTGGTGTCCCCAACAAACCTACAATTGGTGTTCCCAACAAACCTACAATTGGTGTTACCAACAAACATACAATGTGTGTCCCCAACAAACATACAATGTGTGTCCCCAACAAACCTACTATTGGTATCTTCAACCAAACTACAATTGGTGTCCCCAACAAACTAACAATTGGTGTCCCCAACAAACCTACAATTGGTGTCTTCAACTAAATTACAATTGGTGTCCCCAACAAACCTACAATTGGTGTCCCCAACAAACCTACAATTGGTGTCCCCAACACACCTACAAATGGAGTACCCAACACACCTACAAATGGCGGGAAGGGGGAGGGGCAGCCGAACGATCCTATAAACCACATTATTAATACTGTATTGTTGTTAAAAATGTTTTAGTTATTGAGTCGTTGATAAAAATATGGCAGTCATAACACTACTGAGCGGTGAGTATAAAGTATAGGAAAGGTATGTATTGAGTGGTGTTTTGTTATGGAAAGTATGTTCAATCGAGTAGTGGGCGCCGGATATGGTTTGAATAAGAAGTGTACATCATTGGTAGGTATTTGTAATGAGTTATGGTATGTATTGAGTAAAGTGTATGTAATGTTGTGTTACATGTGTTAATGAGAGAGACATCTAGTGATGGACTTTACATATAATTAAACATAAGTTTATAATAATTAAGTAATTAATTAAATATAACTATATTTATGGCATTTAAATGATAGAATTATTGGTCTACATATACAATGTGTTTAGGTAGGATTTATTGCATACAGTATGTGTTGGAAATAATTCATAAACAAAAGGCTATAACAAGTGAGTAAACTTTGTTTAAATTGTAGAAAATACATGGTTTATAATCGGGTTCAGATACCACGTTAAAAATAAAACAAAAATTTAATTAAATAAATGTATAATTAATTGTATTGAATGATTAGTTATTTGACGTATTTACCAGTTTTACTCGGCTTGCACTGACCACGCCAACAAGTTTGGTTGGGAGGACAGCTTTCACTGCTACAGCCAGGGATAACGTTCCGGCGCCGGCTGATAAGCTGTTGGTCGGACAGTCGGGCTGAGCGTCGGTCCCGGAGATGCTGTCCATTACTCAGCATTGAGCCAAACGGAGTGGCGCTGACGGAGTTATCGCCGCACAACGCGATGGCCATCACCAGCGCTATACCGATTACACATATGGTGTTGACTTTCATGATGTTTACGGGCTGTGAGTTTAGGCTATGGATAAAGTAAACTATGATAAATAATTGACCAGCATGTATACTTGCATGATACATTTTTAAATACTTTTAATACATAAAAATACTGTGAGTCAAACAGATATTTTTAATAATAATTAATTTATTAGTATTGATATATAAATTTAGTACACACTTTAAATTCAACAGTAAAATAAATGAATGCAATAATTAAGCGTATAAAAAATGTCTAACTTTGTTTGCTTCTCAAGAATTTACGGTAGAATGAGTTTTGCAAACAAAAGTTGTAGCCAGATAATACGAAAAATGTTTGGTATATAATATGACTTAAAAATAAACAAAATATTATTTTAATTATTAATTTAAAAATCATTTGGAATTTCATAAATATCAAGCCAATATATTTTACATAATCTTATAATTAATAAGTTTGTTGGTGACACCACAACAAACCTACAATTGATGTTCCCAACAAACCTACAATTGATGTCCCCAACAAACCTACAATTGGTGTCTTCAACCAAACTACAATTGGTGTCTCCAACAAACCTACAATTGGTGTTCCCAACAACCCTACAATTGGTGTCCCCAACAAACCTATTACTGGTGTCCCCAACATACCTACAATGTGTGTCCCCAACAAACCTACAATTGGTGTCCCCAACAAACCTATTACTGGTATCCCCAACAAACCTACAATGTGTGTCCTTAACAAACCTACAATTGGTGTCCCCAACAAACCTACAATGTGTGTCCCCAACAAACCTATAATTGGTGTCCCCAACAAACCAACAAACCTATTACTGGTATCCCCAACAAACCTACAATGTGTGTCCTTAACAAACCTACAATTGGTGTCCCCAACAAACCTACAATGTGTGTCCCCAACAAACCTATAATTGGTGTCCCCAACAAACCTACAATTGGTGTCCCCAACAAACCTACAATTGGTGTCTCCAACAAACCTATTACTGGTATCCCCAACAAACCTACAATGTGTGTCCTTAACAAACCTACAATTGGTGTCCCCAACAAACCTACAATGTGTGTCCCCAACAAACCTATAATTGGTGTCCCCAACAA